ATTGATGGAGTATCAACTGAGATGTTTCAACGAACAGTGCAGGACTTTAAGTGCTCACTCATCTATGCCAAGAAATTTGGAAAACAGCTACCTGGCCAACTAACTGGAAGAGATCTATATTTGTGCCCATTCCAAATTAAGGTGATCCAACAGAAGGTGGAAATTATCAAACAGTGTCATTAATATCACACACAAGTAAAATGTTGCTGAAGATAATTCAAAAACTTTTGCAGCAGTACATCAACAGGGAACTGCCAGAAATTCAAGCTGGATTCAGAAGAGGACGTGGAACAAGGGATATCACTGCTGAAGTCAGATGGATCTTGACTGAAAGCAGAGAATACTAGCAAGATGTTTACCTGTATTTTGTTGACTATGCAAAGATATTCAGTTGTGTGGATCATAACAAATTATGGATAACATTGCAAAGAATGGGAATTCCAAAACATTTATTTGTGCTCATGCAGATCCTGTCCATAGACCAGAGGCAGTGATTCGGTTAGAACAAGGGGATACTGCATGGTTTAAAATGAGGAAAGGTGCGTGTCAGGGTTGTATCCTTTCACCACTTTTTTTTATTGTACTTTAGGTGAAAGTTTACAGCTCGAGTTAATCTCTCATACAGAATTTTATGCACATATTGTCATGTGCCACTAGTTGCATTGCCTATAATGTAACAGCACACTCTCCCTTTCCGCCCTGGGTTTCCCGTGTCCATCCAATCAGTTCCTGTCCCTTCCTACCTTCTCATCCTGCCTTTGGAGAGGAGCCACCCATTCGGTGTCATTTATCTGCTTTAACTAAGAAGCACATTCTTCAGGAGTATTATGTTTTATAGTCCAGTCTAATCTTTGTCTGTGGAGTGGTCTTCAGAAATGGTTTTAGTTGTGGGTTAACATAGTGTCTGGGGGCCATCACTTCGGGGGTTCCTCCAGTCTGAGTCAGACCATTAAGTCTGGTCTTTTTATGCGAGTTTGAGTTCTGTTCCACACTTTTCTCCTGCTCCATCAGGGACTCTCTGTTGTGTTCCCTGTTAGGGCAGTCATTCATGGTAGCCGGGCACCATCTGGTTCTTCTGGTCTCTGGCTGATGGAGTCTCTGGTTTTATGTGGCCCTTTTGTCTCTTGGGCTAATATTTTACTTCTGTCTTTGGTGTTCTTCATTCTCCTTTGCTTCAAGTAGGTTGGGACCAATTGATGTATCTTAGATGGCCACTTGCAAACTTTTAAGACCCTAGACGCCACTCACCAAAGTGGGATGCAGAACATTTTCTTAATAAACTTTGTTATGCTAATTGACCTAGATATCCCCTGAAACTATGGTCCCCAGGCCTCAGCCCCTGCTACTCTGTCTCTTGAAGTATTTGGTTGTGTTCAGGAAACTTCTTAGCTTTTGGTTTAGTCCAGTTGTGCTAACTTCACCTGTTTGTGTGTTGTCCTTCCCTTCACCCAAGATGATTCTTGTCTACTCTCTAGTTAGTGAATTCCTCTCTCCCTCCCTCCTCACCCTCATAGCCATCAAAGAATGTTTTCTTCTGTGTTTAAACCTTTTCTTGAGTGCTTATAATAGTGATCTCATACTATTTGTCCTTTTGTGACTGACTAATTTCACTCAGCATAATGCTCTCCAGATTCATCCATGTTGTGAGATGTTTCTCAGATTCTTCATTGTTCTTTATTGTTGCATAGTATTCCGTTGTGTGTATGTACCATGATTTGTTTAAGTTTTTTTCATCTTTTTGCTGTTGTGAACAGTGCTGTAATTAACATGGGTGTGCATGTATCTACTCGTGTGATGGCTCTTATTTCTCTAGGATATATTCCAAGGAGTAGGATTACTGGATTGTATGATACTTCTATTTCTAGCTTTTTAAGGGAACACCATCTATTTCAAAGTGATTGTACCATTTTACATTCCCACCAGCAGTGCACAAGTGTTCCAGTCTCTCCACAACCTCTCCAACATTTATTATTTTGTGTTCCTGTCACCATTTTTGTTCAGTCTTTATGCTGAGCAAATAGTCAGGAAGCTAGGCTATATGAAGAAGAACACGGCATCAGGATGGAAGAAAGATTCATTAACAGCCTGCAATATGTGAATGACATAACCTTGCTTGTTGAAAGCAAAGAGAACTTGAAGCATTTACTGATGATGAAGATCAAAGAATATAGCCTTCAGTATGAATTACACCTCTATTTAAAGCAAAAATCCTCACAACTGGACCAATAAGCAACATCATGATAAACAGAAGAAATATTGAAGTTGTCAAGGATATCATTTTACTTGGATGCACAATCAACACCCATGGAAGCAGCAGTCAAGAAATCAAACAATGTATTGCATTGGGCAAATCTGCTGCAAAAGACCTCTTTAAAATGTTGAAAATCAAAGATGTCACTCCGAGGACTAAGGTGCGCCTGACCCAAGCTATGATACTTTCATTCACCTCATATGCATGTGAAAGCTTCACAGTGAATAAGGAAGACCGAAGAAGATTTGACACCTTTGAATTATGGTGTTAGTGAAGAATATTGAATATACCATGAACTGCCAGATGAATGAACAAATCTGTCTGAGAAGTACAGCCAGAATTCCCCTTAGAAGCAAGAATGGCAAGACTTTGTCTCATGTACTTTGGATAAGTTATCAGGAGGGACCAGTCCCTCAAAAGGAACATCATGCTTGGTAAGGTAGTGGGTCAGCAAAAAAGATCCTCAACAAGATAGATTGACAGAGTGGTTGCAACAATGGGCTGAAACATAACGATTGTGAGACTGGCTCAAGACCTGGCAGTGTTTCATTCTGTTGTTCATAGGGTTGCTACGAGTCGGAACAGACTGGTTGGCACGTAACAACAGCAACAAAGTACCCTGACTAGCTTTTGGCAGCTGTAAGAATTATATTACTTTCCTATTCACATTATCAATCTGTATTATATGGTTTGGCTACTTTAATTCAAGTCTCCAATCGACATTTCCTTTGTATGCATATACTGAAATGATTTTATTTAATAAAATAATTTCCTGGGTGGATTTTAAATTTCCCTTATTAAATATTTATATTTTCAAAATGTCTTTATTTAATTGAGTGAGGTGTTTGGTGCCATTTCAAAATAACTTCAGGTTGTAGGTATAATGACATATCAAAGATTTGACCTTTAGCATTTTAGGATTCTATTTGTCTGCATTTTCTTCTGCATTCATTTAGTCTTAATTCGTATGCTATTTATTCTGTATGACTTAATGAGTACATGTATTTAACATAGGATTCATTAACAAAAAGAAAATATATCTAAATACATGTTATTTCTGTACAGTTTTATTTATTTTAACTTCATCCTATCTCAACTGTGACAAGAAAATGCTGTGTATAAGGCTGATTGGTATTTGCACAGACTTCATTCATTCTCATTAAGTGCTTAGCAGAATAGATCCTGGATCTACAAAAGTGACGGCCATTCTCTAACTTTTCACTTTTTTGCAGTTATCTTAGTTTGTTTTATTATCTACTGGAAATATTTTCCAATTATCTGCTGTTCCTTTTAAAGAAAATTGAACATAATATTTATACTGATATAACTTAATTAGCATCTTGCAGCATCTTTTTGTATGCTTCAATCATCATAATCACTTGTCTAGATAGCTTTCAGCCTAGAAGAAGATAAATAGAATAATTATTAATTATATATGTGTGTCATTACATTTATATATGTATAGGAAGGCACATAAGAATATAGAGATGTGCATGTATAAACCAAAAACCAAACCCATTGCTGTCTAGCCAATTCCAACTCATAGCGTTTCTGTAGGAAAGAGTAGACAGCCCCATAGGGTTTCCAGGGAGCAGCTGGTGGATTCAAACTGCTGACCTTTTGGTTAGCAGCCTGAGCTCTTTACTACGCCACCAGGACTCCGTAGGCATATGTATATACATGTTTATGTCTGCTGCATATATATTCATATATAAAATAAAGCACTAAGGGGGCACAGTTACGGATACTTCCTAGACATAACCAAACACCTTGCAGGATTGGCTTACTGGGTTTGAGGACTTAGGACCATAGTCTTGTGGGGAAACTAGGTCAGTTGGCACAATATAGTTCATAAAGATAGTGTTCTACATCCTAGTTTGGTCAGTAGCATCTGGGGCCCTAAGAGTTTGCAAGTGACTGTCTAATGTACAACTATTGGTCTCTAATCATCTGGAGCAAAAGAGAAAGACGGAAACAAACCCAAAGAAAGTAATCTATGGGACTTATAGTCTGCCCAAACCAAGGCCTCACCTACATTGAGACCAGAAGAACTAGGTGGTGCCCAGCTACCACTGTCAACCATTCTTA